GGCTTGAGTGAAGTTGGAAAATTTGGAAAGGAGCTGAAGCTCCGGTCTTTTGTCATAACCACACCTGCGGTTGGCCAGCCACAGGTGCGAGACCGCAGAAGCGGTCGTTCTCTCGCAGAAGCGGCCAAGCCCAAAGCCGTAGAAGCGGCTAATTTTTCGCAGAAGCGACCCAGCGGCCCAGTTGAAATTTCGTAGAAGCGGACACCTTTCCGCAGATGTGGTGGGCGCAGGTGCGGCCCAGGACCGCAGATGCGGAAATCACTGAAGTAGTGACCTTCATTTATTGCGGGTGTTAGCCATTTTTGACACATTTTCACCATTGTTTGGGCGATTTGGGAGCTTCCAAAGAGAGAAATTCCACCTTGCATCTTGAGGTAACTTCATCCTACTTATTTTGAGTTTAATACTTGAGTCTTGGGTAGATTAACACACAAAGATGAGGGAAAATCATGGGATTAGAGCAAAACCTAGGGGTTTGATAAAAAACTAGATTTGTTATGGAATGAAGTAGAAATCATATATTATTGATCCTTAGGTTAAAGCGAACAACTTTCTTCGAAAAATATCGGAATTCGGGCACGTGGGCCCGGGGTGGGATTTTAGGAAACTTGTGTTTAAGGTTGGGAAATTACTTTAGTAGTTAAAATGCGAACTCTTGAGCTTGTATTGACTAGTTCCTACCTCGTTTAATTAGTTTCGGATCGTTCAGCTCCAAATTGAGGTTTTGGGCACGTTCTTGATATTGGGAGTACGCTTTGGAGTGAGGTGAGTCTCCTTTCTAACCTTGTAAGAGGGAATTGTCCCCATAGGTGAGTAAATTAATCACGTGTTGCTAATTATGGGGGCTACGTACGCACGAGGTGACGAGAGTCCGTGCGTAGCTACTATTATGTTAATTGTCCGGGTAGTTTAGGACCCGTATCATGCTATATTTGCAAATGTCTATATCCTTTCATGTTAATGAGATCACTTAGGACCTGTTAGGGGTTGGAAATAAAAGTATGAGAATGCATGCACTCACTTGGTAACTTGTATGAATTTATTTGACTATAATTGTGTCTTATGTGCCCTCTTGATGATAATTAATATTTGTGGATCGGGCCGATCGCCTCGATAGAAATAGATGCATCTATGGTTCGCGCCATTCGACCCTCTGACAGTGCACATTTCCTTTTATGTTGGACCGGGCCGTACGACCTCGGCATAATGTGCGCATGATATTTATGTGAATTCTTATTCATGACTTGCCTTGCTACATGCCCTGAAAGGTAAATGGCTACTGTGATATTATTTAGAAAATGACCTATCACTTCGTGCTATAAATTGTTATTTATTTATGACATCCACGCTTAGTATCATACTTTCCTATATATATTAATTGACCCTAGTAAGTGTCAAGTTGACCTCTCATCTCTACTTCTTCGAGATTAGACGGGATACTTACTGGGTACATATTACTTATGTACTCATACTACGCTTCTGTACTTAATTGTACAGGATCTGAGGCAGGTACATCTGGCCAATCTGGTGCGCATACTTGATCGTAGTCCGAGATTACATGGTGAGCTGCTCCTTTCCTATGCCGTTCAGCAGTGTGTTGGAGTTCCTCTGTACTTTTGGCTGTCTATTCTAGTTCAGACAGTAGGATAGATTTATTCTTTTGTGTATTCTACTAGATGCCCACATACTTGTGACACCAGATCTTGGCACACACATTGGTAGACTATTCTTTTGGGATTGTATAATTATTAATTTACGTTGTTAATTTTCACCTGTTTTAAGTTCAAATTAAGAAATTGTTGTAACTGTTTTAGTAAAGTAAAATTTGAACTCACTATATTTCCGCGTTGGCTTGCCTGACAAGGGTGTTGGGCGTCATCGCGATCTGTAGTGAAATTGGGTGGTGACATCAAGGGGCCGTCTGCCATTACTGCTTCTCCCCCTATGTCACCTGGTTGCAATGTAAAAAAATTGAAGAGTAGAAGTCTACCATTGAAGGCCATTCAAAGCTTTGCTTTAGAAAATAGATTTTTTTAAGTTTGTTAGTTGTTTGGATTGGGTGTTGTTCCAATTGATTGAAAATATCAAAAGGAGTTCAAAGTTTAAATTTGAAGAGATTTGGAGAAGATTTGAGCAAGATTTGAGTTAAATTTCAGAAAAGATGCAAGGAAGAAGACGAAGTTAGTTTTTTGTATAATTATGTATAATCTTGTGTAATAGTGTATATGAGTGTATAAACACATCTTATACACTATTATACACTTTTATACACCTTTATACAAAGATCTGTAGATGAACTTCTTTCACGATTTTCAGTAATTCTTGTTCAAAACCAATCCAAATCTCCATTAAATGACTTCAAATTTTATATACAACCTCCTTATACTATTTCTAACAAGTCTAAATAACACCCACTCCAAATTTCTCACAAAATCAAATTCGAAATTTAAACCCACATATTTAAGCTTGTTAAAAATCTAATTTTCACCACCCAAATAGATTTGGTTTGTTGAACTAATATTTGAGTCACAGTTACTGATTCGAAAATTAACTTAAAAGCTTGAGCAATCTTTTTTAAAAATCAAATGTTAATTTTGAGAACCTATTGGAGTTGGATATTGAATTTTAGCCTATTATTTTTGGGCTAGTTGGTTGTAAATTGAAATATGAGCTATAAAATTGAAAAGTGGGGAACCTAGTTGTTCTTATATGAAATTTTCCCTAAATATCACTCTTTTTTATTTTAGATATCTGCTATTCGAAAATAACAAGATTTTCTGCATAATCTCTTCTATCACCCAAAAAAGCCAGGACTAAGAGCCCGTTTGGATTAGCTGATTGTAAATAGCTGAAAAACTTTAAGTGTTGAAAAGCTTTTTTAAGTGCTGAAACTGATTTTTAAAATAAGCATTTACATGCTTGGATAGAAGTGCTGAAACTCATAATAAGCAGTTGATGTGTTTGATTAAAAAGTGCTGATAAGGTATTCTTTTATTTAGATGACTAAAATACCCTAGAATTTTTTTTCAAAAAATTATAAATTATAAATTTCTTTGTAAAGAAAAGAATTAACAACGAATATGGAATGAAAAGAAAATCAAGAAATTTATTTTGAGAAAAGTATTTTATGAATTAGAAATATTATTAAGGATAAACTAATAAAATTGTTGGTCAAACTAAAAGTACTTATAAGCTGAAAAGCCATAAGTTGGGGGTGACGGGTGACCAGCTTATGATTTATGGCTGATTTAGCTTATAAGCACTTTGTGTGTTTACCAAAAGCGTAAATAAGCCAAAAGGTGTTTATAAGCTATTTTGACTAGCTTATAAGCTTAGCCAAACACCCTCTAATCCGGATTGGTTGGACCCACTAAGAGATTCTTCGTTCTCATGGCTTTAATCCCAGCCTGATTAAAAATGAAGTGATCTCAATTATCCTATCACACCCTTTCGTAGTAATAAAAATCATCTTTACAATAATTGTTTATAGTAATATAGACATCGAAATTGGAATCTTAAAATTCTAGCCGGCTTGTTTGGAGGCTACTCTATCAATACCCTAACTTTGAGGCTACTCTAATCCTAGGCCACTCATATAAAAAGGATTACATATTCCCTTAAAAAAGCAACTCCTATAAAAAGGGTTACATATTCCCTTAAAAAAGCATCCCGAAAATTGAAATGGTCTCACCAATTCCATAAACTCTCGGAATATGGACAAAGAGAATAAAAAATTCTATAAAACTCTTGGAATATTCATTAAGAGATCAAATGGAGTGCTGCTACATGCTTCTTGATCATCAAATACATCAAGGAGATGCATATCATGCTACGTTCGAAAAATACATTGCTAAGGCCCACGAATTGCGGATAAGAAATCGAAGGAAAGAATCAAGGAATAAACATAATTATAACCCGCAATATTTATCAATAAAATCCTTTTTGTGTTGTTTGTGATTACAGTTTTATTTTTCTGCATAAAATTTACTGCAAACACCATAGCACGCCTAGTGGGACCAATTCTGCCCTTAATCTTCCTCTTGAAAATCAAAAGCTACAAATTTCATCACCTTCAAAAAAAAAAGGTGCTATGTAGCGTATTTAACAATTTATATCAAGGTAGCGCTTCACATTGGGTAATTTTACCAAAGAGCCGCTTGTATAAATTCGGAAAGGAAAATCCTTCTATGGAATTATGGAAGAAGCAGTACTCTTTCTTGACACACAAGAATTTTTCTTTTATTGGAATGGTGGCATATTTTTGCATGTTTGTGAAATTGATTTCACACATATGCAAGGCAAAAAGAAATTCAAAAGTTGATCATTCACAAGCCACACTTTGAAGAAGATTTACGTGAACAAGTCTCAAAGGAGCACTTCCTTGCGGGCCTCATCATTTGAACTTCAAATCTGTCTTCAAGTTTCGGTAAGCCTACACCCCAAAGGGCATAATTGGTCCCACTGGACGTGCTAATTTGTTTGCAATTTTCGGCGCACGAAAAATAATTGCAATATATTAAAATAATTTTATTAATCAACTGTGAGTACAAATTTGTTTCTCCCTTGATTCTTCTCTCCGTAATTTGAATTATCCGGTCACATCTTGATCTCTTTGTGAGTATTCCTTGAGTTTATGGGATATTGGAGATGATCTCCATTTTTGAGATACTTTTCTAAGAGTATATGCAACCCTTTTTATAGGAGTGACCTAGGGTTAGACTAGAGTAGCCTCCAATTTAAGATTTTGATAAAGTAGCCTTCAAACAACCCTAATATACTCCTAAAATTTCAGGAGTAATGTCTTGAATTTAGGATGGCTTGATCCATTGAAATTTCAATATCTACAAGTAGCTGTACAAATATAAGAGTTTTTGTCAAATAATCAGCCGTGGCACGAGCTAATGCGCAAAGGGGAAAGACAGGACTCTTGCTACCTTGAATGAGGTGTGGGTTTCTTTGCTAAACTTGTTCAAGAGTCTGAAGAAGAGAAATTCATCTACTTTTCTAAAACAGTGGAATATTGCAGATTGATGTACTTTTTTGGTTATACAGAGAGGTAGGAACATAATGACTTTGTATGGAAAATCCGTCCTAACTTGGGAAACAATAAAGTTTTGTTAGTTCAGAAATGTTAAATTAAAGCTTACAGAATAAATAACAAGACTAATATTACATGGACTCTTCAACAAAGGACATTGTAACTCTTTTTTGTTGTTTCCCACCCGGTGTATGGTACCTGCTCGAACCCGAGACCTCTGGTTAAGGGAAGAGCAACCCCATCCGCTGCACCACAAGACTACTAACACATAGCATATATGGAAGCATCTAATATGAACTCAAATTGAGGAAGCTAATAGTGTAAAATACACCCCATGCTCTCTTGCTCTTCTTGAATTTCTTTGACAGATTTTGCAGCAGAAATTGAGTAATGAAGCAACTCTGCTGACTCCAAGGCACAAATTTCCCCAATGTCTTTAGGGATTTCCTCCAAGCAACACTGCCAGCTTCCCAGTGCTCCAACTTAACACGGCCGCGATAATCGACCCCATCACCATTACCAACTTTTCAGGTATACAATTATATCTTATCCATATTTACCTAAAGAGGAAACTTCAAACTTTTTCTTTTGTTAGTAATATGATTCTTTGTCCAAGTAAATGGATGAGAATTTTCAGCTTAATGAATAAATCAGACTATTGTTGTATGACATATGGATCTCTTCAAGAAAGGACAATGGAACTCTTCAAGACTGCAGAAAAGAGTGCAGAAGCATCTAATATGCACTCAAATTGAGGAAGATAACATTATGAAATAGACCATTAAGGCAAACCATCCATCCAGTCTTTAATGTTTAGCTTGCAAGCAGATCACAAAAATAAAAACGCGATAACTAGGCAACATTAGCTCCTTTAGTCATTTTAAAGGATGATTTTCCCACTGCTTGAGAGTCATCAAAGGCCACCACATATTCTTAATCCCCTACTGCAAGGAGAGAGAACTTATCATGAGTCTTGAAGCAGATCAATGATATGCCGAGGCAACTTATAATTTTAAACTAACATCACTGCTTAAACTGTTAATATATCATATGGCAATGTGAAAGAAGAACATAAAATAAAGATAGAAATCTGATTAGCAAGCAATGAATAGAGACGGAATGAGTCTTACCGATGATTATAGATAATGACATTGAGGCAATCATTCCCCATGCTCTCTTGCTCTTCTTGAATTACGTTGGGGGATTTTGCAGCAGATATACTGCAACCGTGCAACTCTATTGACGCCAACGTACATATTTCGCCAAAGTCTTGAGGGATTTCCTCCAAGTTCATGCATCTTTCGAGCAATAGGCGTTGCAGCTTTGGGAAGTTAACACTACCAGCTTCCCACTGCTTCAGATCTGTCCAACTGATTAATAGGAACTTCAGTTGATTGAAAGTCTCTTCATCATTTAATCTCCATACATCTCCATCAAATCCATTGTGTTTAATTTTAAGCACTTGGAGGTTTGGCAACATTACAATATTTGCCATGTCTTCCCATGGTAAATTAGTATAACTTAATGTCAACCTCTTCAGAGATGTAGGCAAAGTATACTTACTTGGGATTCGGGGAAGTTGTACCCCGCCCTTGAACTTCAACATTTCAAGTTCTTTTAAACAGGAAAGGCTACTTAGGCGCTCTCCCATCATTTCCATCGGATAATTTCCAATAATTTTCAGCTTCTTAAGATTTGGAATAGCAGAAAATAATTCACAAGTACAGCTGGACAAAGCTAGGCACGAAAGTCCCTCCAGATATGGTAGCTTATTTGATGGAATAGGAAAAGAAAAGAAGTCACTGATATGAAGATGTCTTAAATTTTTCATTCGCCAAATTCCCACAGGTAGAGTTGGAGGTGATAAACCTTCAACTAGGTGACCAAGAATGAACGTCTGCAGATTATAAAGCTCCGACACTGACCAGTGAATATCATCATGACAAGTGAATTGAAGGTATCTGAGTTGTACTAATTTTGTTATCTCTAGTGGGAAAGTTTGAAACGTATCACCAAGGATAGCCAACACTCTTAGCTGTTTGAAGCGTGTCAAAAGAAGAACTTGTTTAGAAGGTGTTTCTAATCCATGGAAGAAGTGCACATTTCGGGTGAGAACACTGGATGATGACTGCCAGCGATCGTCCTGATATATGTACGAATGGAAGCTGTAGCGACAAACATGAACCTTCTTTGCCCAAGACTTGGTGGCTTCTTGAATTCTATTAACCTGTAGGAACTTCTCCTTCTTAGCTTCTCTTAAAATCAAGTCACGAATCAGATCATGGACGCCACATGTTTTCCCCTCGCCATCAAATCTCTGCTTTCTAACCATTATCAGATTCCTACTAACAAGATCCTCCAAACAATCTTTTCCCACAAATTCTGCCAATAGAAAACCCTCAGAAACCCATAAGTTGATCAATGTCTCAATGTTAACCTCACTATCTTCTGGGAAAACTCCCATATAAAGGAAACATGGTTTAAGATGATTAGGTAAGTAATTGTAACTCAGAGCAAGCACTCCTAGACATATATCTGATTCATGAGCAACAACTTTACTTACACTTTTGGCAACACGTTCCCAACTTTCTCGTGTTCTAGCAATTTTAGAGAGATGCCCTGCAACCACTAGAATAGCTAAAGGTAGTCCTTGGCATTTTTGTGCTACTTGCCTCCCGAGATCCTCTAATTCAGGAGGACAAACCTGTTCTACCCCAAACACCTTTTCATGAAGTAACTTCCAACGTTCATCTGAATTCAAGAGGCTTATCTCATGAGGAATGCTGTCAGGGTCAGCATGAATAGCCAGATCTTTAAGCCGACTAGTCAAAATAATTCGACTCCCATTGTTGTCGTCTGGAAAAGTTCTTGTCATAAGATCCCAGACATCATTACTCCAAATATCATCCATTACAACAAGATACCTCCGACCCTTAAACTTTTTGTATATCATATCCATCAACTGATTATGAGACACTTCTTTGATATCATTTGTAGGACTAGAAAGAACGCCTAACAACAAGTCTCTAATTTGGTATTCTTGGGATACCGTGACCCAAACATGGATGTCAAAGCGATGCCTGATTTCTGGATCATCAAATGCCATTTTGGCAAGGGTGGTTTTTCCTATCCCCCCCATTCCTAAAATGGGGATAATATCGCGATCAGACGGGCCCCCTATTAATCTTCTCTTGATTCTCATGAGGTCACCTTCAAGATCGACGACAATATTTTCTGGATTGAGTTTTGCAACATATGTAGATGAATGACCAGGAAAGGAAGCACCTGTTTGAAAATCCGCACCATAGCCTTGAACTTCACTTGTACCAAAACTACTATGCATCACATTCCTCTTCAGAGCATCTATTTTTTCTACATGTGGAGACAAGTTTTTGCATAATGCCTTTCTTTCCATTGTTTCATTAAGGATTTTATTTTCACCAAACTGACATCCCATCACCTCCCTCATCTTTCCTACAAATGCTCTCAAAGAAGATGCCTCTCTTTTCATTGTTTTATTTATCTTTAGTTCAATCACATCTTCTACTTCATTCACTACACTTTTAATCTCTCTCTCCAACTCTTCATCCTTTTCAGAGTGCTGACTTCTCTTCTTAAGAAAGTCTTGAAAATATTCAAGACTAGAAAGGAGAGAGTCCCACTATTATTCTTGTTTCATCACTTATCCATGGTGGATTTAGTTGTAAAAGTTGCTCCAGAGTTTGTACGAGAGAAATCACAGCAATATAAGCCATCCCTATGTAATTGGTTTTATAGATAAAAATAAACAACAGTATAGAGAACAGGGAAAGAAAGAGTTAATGAAGAGTTTCTAAGAGCTTACCTACATTTAGCTGGAAAGAAATAGTTGAACTCTTTTGCAGATTGCAAACAAACAAACGCTGCTGCAGGTTGTTGTTAAGAGTATTTGAGAAATCATAAGACCAGATCTACATAGTGGTGGGTTCTAATTTTGTTTTTAAATAAGTATGTGTGAAGTGTGAAACCATGCTCAAGTGGGTAGTTTGGCTTAGTGGTCAATGAGTGCACCTTTAATCCAAAGGTTAGGTTTTCAATTCCTACTTGTTCCCTTGCAATTTTTAATTAAACATGCTTCTTTTTCTTTATTCTTTCCTTTTTCTTTCTTGGTTCTGCCTAAAGTAATTCTTAAAAAACAAACTTTCACTAATAATGCAAAATCACGTATATATAAAAAAAGATTTACATAATAGGATGGATGAAGAATTTTTTAATAATTTTTAATTTGCTATATAAAACATAAGATATTTACAACGGTAAGTAATGGTTCTATTATTGATAGTTTTCAAATTGTACAAACTCGTCGATGAAAAATGATACTAATTATTTAATTAGAATTTGCTCGTCAACTTGGTAATGGTAAAAATAAAATAAAATATTGCCAGGTCATATATTTATAAAGATATTAGTACACCCGTACTATTAAAATCCTGGATACGCCTCTGGGAAGGTGAACTACGAACATTCTTGAAACACGAAAAGACCCCTAGCGACTGTTCGAACGTGTTCTCCTCCTTTTTTCGTATCCACTTTGTAATCCAGATTCACGCCAAGAAATCCCACTTTGTTCTCTTTTCCTATTAAAGAAGTTTAAATGGTGGTTTTGGTCCTAAGGATTTTATCAATCATGTACATGTAGTAATAGGTGATCACCAGCCTCATATCTAGGTCACTAACTTCACTTATTATAAATAGTTACTTGTAATTACTTTTTACGTGATATGGTAGTATAAAAATTCTTATTCTTTTGCACTCTGTCCATGTAACAAGAACTAAACTCTAAATAAGAAAAAACGCATTGTTCTTGACAGAAGAACTATTATACATATTTAATTTGTTGGGCACATGCCCATGTTGTCCAGCCAAAGGTCCAATGGTCTAATTATATGGTTTTCATTCCTATTTGAATTGGATTCGGTTCTTATTCTTATTTAGAGTTGGTTTTGGATTTAAGAGAAAGTATCACTCATTATCTATAAATAGAGCAACCTTGGAGAATTATTCATATGAAATTTGATAAAATATGAAATTTTGCCTTAAAAATCTATTTGAGTTGACTCCGTTCAATATTTTGAGCAAACGGACCCGCATCAGTATTTTGGAGGTCCCAGTGGGTCCGTATCGTGATTTGGGACTTGGGCGTATGCTGGAATTGAATTCGGAGGTCCCTAGCTCGTATCGTATTTTGGTGAAAAAAGAAGTTTGAAGGCTTAATGAATCTAAAGGTTTGACCAATGTTTGACTTTATTTATATCGGGTCCGTATTTTGGTTCTAGAACCCGGTACTGGCCCATTACTATATTTATGACTTATATGTTAAATTTGGTGAAAAACGGAATTAGTTTGGCGTGATTCGGACGTCCGGTTGTTAAAATAGCAATTCTAAAGTTTTCTTGAAAATTTCATTTGATTTGGTGTCCGATTCATAGTCTAGGTGTTATTTTGGCGATTTGATCGCGCGAGCAAGTTTGTATGATATTTTTGGACTTGTGTGCATATTTGGGTTGGAGCCCTGAGGGTTCGGATGAGTTTTAGATAGGTTACAGAGTGAGTTTGGACTTAGGAAAAATGCTGGCATGCTTCAGTTCTGGTGGAGGTCTCTGACCTCGCAATTGCGAGGTCAGTGTTCACAATTGCGAGGAACCCAGGTTCCTGTCTTGGTCGCAATTGCGAAGAAAATCTTCACAATTGCGAAGATGGCCGGCTCAGCAAGGGATCGCAATTGCGATCAAACGGTCGCATTTGCGGGGGACCAGAGTTCGCATTTGCGAACATTTCATCGCTATGCGATGATAGCAGAGGTGCGAAGACTTTGCAATTGCGAGGGCTTTTTCGCATTGCGAACCCCAGGTCGCAATTGCGATATCTGCAACTGGTCAAAAGCTGAGTTAGATGGAATTTCTCTCATTCTTTTAAATTTTCAGACTTAGAAACCCTAGAAGTGATTTTCCCAAGAGCTCTTCTTCCCCAATTCATTGGTAAGTGATTCTAACCTACTTTCTTTCACTTTTCCATTATATTTCATAAGATTTCAACCTAAATCTAGGATTTTCATGGTGGAAATTGGGGGGTTTGGGTAAAATTAGGGATTTTTGTAAAATTGGATTTAGACCTCAAATTAAGGTTGGATTTCGAAACAAATTACATAACCGATGAATGGGTAATCGGGTTTTGGTCAGACTATCGGGTTTGGACCAAGCGGTCCCGGGAGTTGACTTTTGTTGACCTTTTCAATAATGACCTAAATTGAACATTTTTCATTTGTGGGTAGTTCCTAAGGCTTATTTTGAATCGTTTGGTTGATAATTTGCCAGATTTTGTTGGTTCGGAGGCTTGTTTGAAAGGCAAAGCTGTGGTTGAGCTTTGAGTTGATCTTTGGAGCGAGGTAACTGTCGTGGTTAACCTTGACTTGAGGGAATATGACTTGTTTGCCTATTTTTTACTTGTTTAAATGTTGGGTACAGCGTATAAGTCAGGTGACGAGTACTTATGCGTTGTTGTTGGGCTAAAGCATGCCGGTGGGCTTGGTTCTTGTAATTTATTGCTTTCTTTGATCATGATATCCATGCTTAGACTAGTTAATTATTAATTTGATCATTCTTTCTGCGTTTATGGGCTATCTGTGATAATTGAGTATTGTTTCTGAAGTTGAGGTTGGTATTGTGGAACCATTGTTGACATAAGGCTTGTTCTTGTTTATTCTATCTCTCTGGTGTTATATGTTCACTGTTATATGGTAAGGGAGAGTGTTAATGCACGAAAGGTGATGTCGTCTCATATTTGAGAGTTAATTCACGAAGGGTGATGTCATGCCATAATTGAGAGTTAATGCACGAAGGTTGATGCCGTGCCGTATTTGAGAGTTAATGCACGAAGGGTGATGTCGTGCCGTATTTGAGTGTTAATGCACAAAGAGTGATGCCGTGCCATATTTGAGAGTTAATGCACGAAGGTTGATGCCCCGCCGTATCTATTGATTCATGACGAAATTGAGAGTAAAAGCACGAAAGGTGATGTCGTGCCGTTATTACTGTTTCACTGAGCACCTGCAACAGTTATGACAGCAGAAATTCTATGTCTCAAACATCCCGAACCCCATCCGAAACTCACCCGAGCCCTCGGGACTCCAAACCAACCTAAAAATATTATACGGACTTGCTCGCGTGATCAAATCGCCAAAATGACATCTTGAACTACGTGTTTAGCATCAAAGTCAAAGAAAAATCTCAATAACTCTTAAATTTCAAATTTCACAATCGAGGGTCCGATTCACATCATATGAATTCCGTTTTTTACCAAATTTTACAGGCACAATCTTAAATACCATATAAGACCTGTACCAGGCTCCATAACCAAAATACGGACCCGATACCATCAGGTTCAAACACATTTAAATTTCCAAAAACTCTTATAATTTCATTTAAACAATTTTCTTCAAAAATTCATTTCTCGGGCTTGGGACCTCGGAATTCAATTCCTGGCATACGCCCAAGTCCCATATTTTTCTATGGACCCTCCGAGACCGTGAAATCACGGATCCGGGTTGACCGAAGTCAACTTAAATTGAATTTTAACGGCAAAATTAGTATTTTTATCAAATTTTCACCTAAAAGCATTCCGGATATACGTCCGGATCGTGCACATAAATCGAGGTAAGATAAAAGGAGGTTTTTAAGACCTCAAAACACAGAAATGACTTGTAAATCAAGTGATGACCTTTTGGGTCATTACAATTTGTAATTCCTATTCCTTATTAATATCGAATTTCTTATTGAATTAGGAAAAGTGGAAAACCATGCATAATTCCTACAACTAGTCCTTATTAATATTCTGGCTTCTTATCCCATTAGGAAATGATCGGTGACGTGCATTTCATATGTATTGACTTCTTGTTTAATTAAACTAAAGGATGTATTAGCAAGTGCAAATTAGTTAAATTGTAATTCTATATTAAATAAATTAAAATAATTATTTAAAAAATTAAAACAAGGAAGATATATAGTAATGTTGTAAAGTGTAAATTGTAAGGAACTTTAGCTGGGAAGAGGTCTCTGAAACCGTTAACAAATGCTAAACTTTAACTATTTATTTTTATTTTAACGGACTAAACAAACTCTAAAATATTTAATGTTCGAAATATTTAGAAGGGAGAGCACTAGCTTACAACATTCTAATCTTTCATGATCTAATGAGACATTATAACAGGAGGACTTCACCAAGGTGTTTGATGAAGATTGGCTTGAGGAAAACATATGATATGGTTAGCTAGGACTTCACTGAGGAAGCTCTGATTGGGTATGGTTATCCTATTTCATTTATCTAGTTGATCATGGTGTGTATCACATCAACAAAATTCTCAGTGAAAGTAAATTGACAGGGGTATGGATATTTTGAAGGAAAAAGAGGTTGAGACAGGGGGACCCAATCTCACCACTGTTCTTTGTACTTGTTATGAAATATCTCACTAGAACTTTGAAAAGGATGAGTGAGCTCCCAGATTTCAAATTTCATCTAATGTGCAAGCATTTAAAGCTGACACATTTAATATTTGCAGATGATCATTTGCAAAGGAGATATACAATCAATTCGAAGGGTGGCTTTGCTCCACTTCAGTAGTGTGACAGGTTTAGAGGCAAATGCAAACAAAACAAACATCTTCCTGGCAAGAATAGGAGATGATAGGAAAGAGGAGATATTGACATACACAGGATTCTCAATAGGAACTCTACCTATTAGATATCTTGGTTTGCCTTTGTCATCTAAAAAATGGAGTAAGATGGACTGTCACCAGTTGGTGGAGAAGACAACTAATAGAATTATATTGCTTACTCGAAGCAATTGTCCTATGCAGGTAGATTACATATTATCAATGCAGTTTATTCTCAATCTACAATTTCTGGGGAGCTATCTTTATATTACCTCAAAGTGTGCTAAAGGAAGTGGATAGAAAATGTAGGGACTATCTATGGGGTAGCTCATAAGAGGGTGCCTCTGATAGCA